ACAGCAGCTATTTCGGGAGCGCATTTACATGAGCAGGGCTCAGAGATCTCCATTCTGCAGGAAAAAAATGGATGTTAGCGGAGCCCTGTCAGGCCAGGCCGTAGCAGAATGCTAATAGCAAGCGGACAGCACCCGCGGCGCCTGCCAGCAGAGTCCGAAGGGGCTACCTGTAATGCTCAGCCCGTCTCATTGCCTCGTGGATTTAATCAACTCGGGAGCTCCAGGCTCAGCATGGGCAAAGTATTTTCCACCTCAAACTACAAACAAGGGCAGCGATGCTACCTTCCCAGCCAATTTAGAGGCGCTGCCAGGGCAAGAGGTTTTTTAAAAATGCTGGTTTGTGCTCAAGCCTCATGTCCTGCATCTGTTCCGCACTTCAGCGCTGCAAGACAAGACTCTGCCCTACAGGAGCCTTTTGGACAAGCCTCTGGATCCAGCTCTGTGGACAGGGGCTGGGAATGGCTAAATGCTGCACGGAGAAAGCGCTCACCCGCGCCTGGTCGGAGAACGCTGAAGATTCATCGCAACGCTGCTCGATTTACACCGAGATTCAGCTTCTTCCCATTAGTAAACACAAAAAACACAAGCCCCAGAGGTGCTGGAAATGGCAAAGGGCCAAGGTGAGCAAGGAAAGGCTCCAAGAGCAGTCGCGGTCGGAGCAGCACACGAGCAAACGGCCTCTCCTTTGCGGTGCAGCGGCCCCAGGGCCGGCGGCTCCGCTGGGTTGTAATTCAGCGCTACGCTCCGCGCGGCTGCCGCCTGACACGCTTCTCCAGAGGCTGCACTGCATTATGCGGCCTTATTGAGCAGAAGCAAGCGCGAGATGGCCTTGGAAGTCATCATAAACACTGTAATCGCTCTTCCTGAGAGAGGTGATATTGCGCGCTGCGCCGTGCCATCACCATTTCCCTCCAAAACGGTGCTCCAGAACGGTAGGGGAATGGAAGCAGGATCTCTGCCTCGAATTAGGAATGCTTTAGCAGCGGCCACGGCAACGTCCGTTCCCTCAAGACTTGCACAAAGCGAGCAAAAGGAAACCAGACTGGCAAAAAGACGCTAGTCTTTCTGACACTAGTTACACTAGTCTTTGCTCAGAAGCAGCCAAAGGTCTTTCGATAGAAAGCCACAGGTTCGGACTAGCTCTTTTGAAGGTCTGGTAGCAGCAGCAATGTTTTGTTTCCTTGCAGCCTAAACCAGGCTGCAAACGGGGCTGCTACCACCTCAGTTATCCAAGGAGAAAAGCCTCCCTCATGCACCACGCGAGAAGGGGCTGCCCTCTGCTCCCTGGGTTCTGAGCGGGAGCAAACACGCGCACGGTAACACACCTCCCCGGCCAACGTTTCCTTCCCTTGCCTCAACCCATCTTTGGTTTGCTCTCTGTGTGCTGGGTACTCGCGGGACTCGCAACGCGCACGGACACCAGCGCACGGGAGGGACCCTCGGCCGGGTCCCCTTGGGCACGGGGAGGGAAACGAGCGACTTACTGCCCTAGCGCTCAGGCACGAGGAACACGGGGCTCGGGAACAAGGAAGCTCCTGGCTGGCCTGTAATTAACCAGACAAGCGAGACAGCAGCAAT